CTCTCTCTCTCTCTCTCTCTCTCTCTCGCTCCTTCTCCGTGTGTGTGTGTGTGTGTGTGTGTGTGTGTGTGTGTGTGTCCCCACTCCAGACCCCTGGTCTGGCACTTTGGGGCAGGTATAAACAGAAAGCTAAGTAGCAGAAATGGGTCAAGAACTTGGTTAAGGACAAACTGACTATTGGAAGGAGCCCAGGCATCTCCCCAGGAGCCCTGGACTTTGTCTGCCATTAGCCTGCAGAACTGAGGGATCTCCTCACCTCACTCTGTACAGCATGGTGTGGCTGGAAATGGGGTTTCTGTTTCACCCCAGGGCCGGAAATGCCTCCACCTCCCTTCTCCCCATCCAATCTTCCCTGCCCACCCTTGTGAAGTGGCTTTCGAGTGCTAACAGCAACAATGCAGCTTCGTGTGTCACAGCATCAGGTAACAGCCGTACATTTGCACAGGTATCATCTGTGACAACGGTGATGCTGGAAGGCAGTGGCAGATAAACACCCAGGTCCCCCTGTCACCTCCCAACTCCCCAGCCTCTGTGTCCTCGAACTCCACACTCCCACTCCCAGCTGCTCTTCACAAACTTCCTGGAAGTGACAGGTCACTGCCTCCCTCCCACTAGCAGCCCCAGCTGGATGCCCAGGAACTGACAGCGCTCATTCTATCCTGGACAGTGCCACCAGCCTCAGCAAGCTGGAGCAGGCCTCCAGGGGCCAGAGAGACCTGTCGGCGCCCAGTCCATCCATACCTCCAGCAGAAGAGGCACCTGCCAGGTCAAAGCGGGAGGCAGCCAGATGCAAACTCAGGACCACAAGACGGGTGGTCTGAAGGCTCAGGCCTCACCTATCCCCACATGTGGGTGACCCTGACTAGACCATGGGGGGCCCTCCTGCTCCAGGTGAGCTAGGGGTCTGGAAGGCTGAATGGAGCTTAGTTAGCAACTCAGGCTCCTCCATTTGGGCGCCACTTTTCCCAGAGGCTTCGGGGGCACCCAGCGGGTAGGCTTCCCGAGCCCGGCTGGTCCTGGCACAGGTGAGGAAGGCCAGGCAGGCCCCTCGGATGCGTGCCAGGTCCCTATGCGTGGTCTCGCTGACAAAGCAGTACAGCACGGGGTCGGCGACGCAGTTGAAGCTGGTGAGGAGCAGGGAGAAGTGATAGGCGTTGAAGATGCTCTTGGCAAACTCACAGCTGGCCTCCCAGACACTGCGCACCAGCAGGAGCACGTGGTAGGGCAGGAAGCAGGCCAGGAAGATGACCACAGTGCTGAGCACCAGCCGCTGGATCTGGTCCTTGCGGCTCTTCTGGGTGCCGTGGCTCCGGCGCACGGCCTGCAGGATGCCCCGGTAGGAGGCCAGCAGCAGGCACAGCGGGAAGAGGAAGCCCACCAGGAAGCGGTAGTAGTTGATGCTGCGTTGCCAGGCCTTGATGGGGTAGTGCTCGAAGCACACGCGGTGTCGGTCTTTGTCCTCGATGACCTCCTGGTGCATGAGGAAGAAGATGCTGCTCAGTAGCTCCTTGGCCCAGATGACCACACTAACACCCACAGCTGCCTTCAGGGTACGAAACTGGTGGAAGCGGAAGGGATGCGCCACAGCCAGGTAGCGGTCGATGGAGATGCAGCAGAGGAAGCCCACGCTGATGTAGATGTTCTCGTACAGCAGGATGCCGCACACCTGGCAGGACAGGTCGCCATGGGACCAGTGGTCATGCTGCAGCACATACTGCAGCCAGAAGGGGAGTGAGCAGATATAGAAGAGGTCCGCCATAGTCAGGTTGCACAGGTACACGCCCAGCTCGTTCCGGGCCTTGATCTGCAGGTAGCCGAAGTACAGGGATAGACAGTTGGCTGGGAAGCCGACTACCAGCACTGTGATGTAGACCACTGGGGCCAGAGTCTGGTGGATGGTGTGGTCAATGTTACAGCTCAGTGAGGCATTGTCTGCAGTGCTGTTCCCCATCTTTGGGCTGGAAGGGGCCTCACCCTTCATGGGCTCAGGGACTCCCCACCGCCATCTTGTTTACAGAAGGTGACTCAAGCTATAGCAAGGGCAGGGCATCACTGGTGGTGGGCAAGCCCCTGCAAGTCAAAGGTGGGAAAATCTTAGCATAGTCATAGCTAGCATTTATAGAGCACCTGCTGCATGTAAGGCATGCTTCTGTATGTTGTACTCCTTTCATTTATGAGACATGATTGAAAACTATGGCAAATGTTACATTTTTTTAAAAAAGCTATTATAGCAAAAGGCATATTGCCATTAGTCACCCCTAAAACACTCTCCCTTGCTTGGAACACATTATTCCGTAGTTCTTGCTATTTTCTGAAGCAATTCTGGAAGTCCTCCTTCAAGAGTGCCTTGAGTTGCATTATTGTAGCTGCCTCAGTGTGCTGAACTGATTCAAAATGTTTACCTTTCATGGTCATTTTGACCTTGGGGAAGAGCCAGAAGTTGCATGGTGCCAGATCCAGTGAATACGATGAATGAGGACGCAACATAATGTTATTAGGAGCCAGGGTTTTCTATTGGATGGCAGTGGGCAACCGCATTCACTGTACTTTTGATCACACCTTGCAAAGGCACTCACAAAGGAGGACTTTCAGAACTGCTTCAGGAAGGGGTAAGAACAATGGGGTAAGTGTGTTGGAAGTGAGGGGGAGTGTTTTGAGGGGGATTATTGGCAATGTCTCTTTTACTCTAATAATTTTTTTTATTTAAACATTCACCATATTTTATAATCACCTCTTGTAGATTCTACCAACCAACCAACCAACCAACTTCCATGCAAGTAGAATACCTAAATGGTTCTCATACAAAGACCTTGGAACGTGGCTTATGGTTCCCCATTCTTTCTCTGGCTTTTCTTATATAGGTTCCCTATTCTTTATTTATTTTCCTGGTCTCTGTTTGCAGCAGGGAAGTCCAGGAGATCTTAGGAGCATGAGCCCAGCTTAAGCCCAGCTCTCCAAGGGAGGTGCAAGGCAAATATCTATTCCAACCCACACACAACACCGAGGGCCTCACACTCCAGGCCACAGCAATAGCATCACTCACATTTTTCCTACGTGCTCATGGGATGGCATTAGTTAGATCCATTAACTCTGAGTCCACACGTCCTCCTGGGGACTTCTACAGACAATCTTAGAGGAGCTGTGGCCTTGTCCATGTCCTATTGTGCTTTGGCAAGGAACAGAAGTTCCCTGCAGGGCCCAGCCCGGACTCCTGGTTGCTCCTTAGCAAGCACTACTTCTCTGCTTCTTTGTGGAGCCTGGGAAAGATTTTGGATCAGGGACCGAAAGACATGACCACCAGGCCAGGCCAGCCACTCTAGGGCTGTGCAAGTCACTTACCTTTTGGGAGCCTCATTTTCCTCACCTGGAAAATGAAGATACGGACACTTGCCCTGGGGATCAGTATCAGGGCCACATCGAATGACAGATGTGAAGATAAGCGGCATAGTTTTGTTTTCTCCCCAAAGGGAAAAAGGGAGTCAAAGACAGTATTCTTCATTTGAGTTAGGGGAAAGTTCACATTGTTGAGAATTTAACAAAGAAGATGCCAAACACAAAGTAAGTTTTAACTAGACAGAAGAAAATGTTTTGCTATAACTATACAGTATTTATCCTATTATGTCTGCCTTTTAAAGTTTAGTATGTTTTCAAGATTCATCCTTGTTGTAGTATGTGTCTGAATGTCCGGCTTTTTAAGGCTGAATAAAATGCTACTATATGCCAACTTCTGTGTAATTACTTGTCAATAGATATTTTAGGTTGTTTTCATCTTTTGGGTATTTCAATAATACTGTTGTGAATGTGGATGTGCAAAGACCTGTTCAAGTTCCCAGTTTCAGTTCTTTAGGGTATGTAGTCAGAACTGGAATGGCTGCATAATATAGCAGCTCTGTGTTGAATTTCTGAGGAACCGCCATCTTGTTTTCCATAATCGATATGTCATTTTGCATCAACAGTGTACATGAGCATTGTTTGTTTATCTGCTTTCATCACATGTTTTGGTGATGAGAGGAAGGGAAGAAGGAACAATTAAGGACTGGGACCTTCCAACTGCACACAAAGGGCTAAGTCAGAACTGGACCCACACTGTGGGGCCAGTCACTCACCAGGATCACACGAAGATGTCAACAGCAGCACAGGTTCCTGCATGGTCCCCAGAGGGCACCCACTCAGAACTGTTCATGTTTGCCTGGCGTTCTCTAGGCCAGGTAAAATTCACTGGCGGGAAGATACAATCCATTCATTAGCACAGGCTCACAGGCTCCAACAAAACAGGGCAAATGAAGCCACCATGAAAACATGTCCTGTCATGTCTTGGAAATTCCCTGAGAGTCACCAGGCCCCAAGCCTGTTATTTACGAGTGGTCAGTATATGGTTGTGTGGAGTGGGGTGGGGCAATGGTTTGTAGTTCCTCTTTCCTAGGCCAGCAGTAAGCTAAAATCTGACAACTCAAGTCAGAAATATTGCAGTCTGCAAAGCCAAGAAGAAATATTTGCTACATTTAAATTAAAGCATGTCCTCTGGTCATTTTGGAGCAGAAATAACAGCGGATCTTAAACTTGGGTGCACTAGAATTCCCTGGAGGCAGATCACAAAGCCCCACTCTCTAGTTTCCAGACTTGGTGTTCTGGGTGGGGATGGAGGGCTCAAGAATTAACATTTGGAAGACGCTCCTGGGTGCTGTGGATGCTGCTGAACTGCAGGTGCAGCCGTGGACCACGCTTTGAGTGGCAAAGGAATGGGGAGAGTGAGGTCTTGGGCTCAGTGTCTGCACTGAGCTGCTCTGGGCTGCGTAAGTTCCCAAGTAAGGGGAGCAGAGGCAGCCACAAGGGGAAACTTGAGACCCCGCAGAGACGTGAGCAGAACTGAAATCACCCCATGGGCATCTCCAGACAGATTCTGCGCCTCAAGAAGTAGTGACTGAACCTGTCCACGTGCCTATAATCTTTTATTTGCAAAATATTTTACTATTTGCAGAACATTTTACTTCTGCCATCCTGTCTCATCTTCACAACAACCCCACATTTTAGATGTCCACATTTTAGACGAGGAAACGGACATTCAGAGAAGTAAAGCAGCTTGTCCAACAGTCCTGAAGTTCAGGGTTTCGTGAGACAAGTATTTGTGGAGCAGGTACAATGTCCACAGCACCAGGCTAGGCATGGATGACCGAGCGATAAATAAGAAAGGGGTTGCAACCTCAGGGAACCTCCAAGTTCAGAAGATAGGGATGCCACTGCCACATGTGGTGCCATGGGCTTCTCTCCCGCACAAATTCAGTGTTGGTTTGTTCTTTTCACCCTATGCTCACCCTGTGTGGCAGGCCATCTCCTCCAGGGTCCCAATCCCATTACGCTCTGATGATTCCCGGACCTCTCCTTAGCCTGATATTGCACAAGCTGCTCCTGCTGCCTCACAGGACATGTCTAGTGAGGCCTATGCTGGGTCCATCATCTTCTCCTCCTACTCGTCCTTGGAAGGGTTACTCCACCTGCCCAATCACTCGTGTTGGGTGCCTCGCCTTCAGTTTCTTCCCTCATCCCCATCCATAGCATTAAATTGTACCATTTTCAACACTTAAGTATTCACCACATCCGTCTCCTCTTTGGCTCTCTCACGACCACCCCAATTTGGTTTAGTCAAGATGCTCCTCCCCGCCTAACCTGAGAGGCACAACAGCATCCTGTTGGGCTTCCTGTCTCCGTCTTACCACCTCAAAGCTATCCTTTAAAAACAAATCTAGGGGCTGGGGATTTAGCTCAGCGGCACAGTGCCTGCCTGGCATGCGCAAGGTCATGAGTTCAATTCCTGGTACCGAAAAAAAAAAAAGTAAAAACAAATCTAACCATATCGCTCATATCCTGCTCCCATGGCTCTCCAATCATCCACCTATCCATTTATCAGCTCACTCATTTACCCATCCAACCATCCATCTTCCCACCCATCTGTCCATCCATTCATGTAGGTCTCCATTTATACAATACTCAGTGAATTTCTATTACACAGAAGGCACTACTCTCAATACTAACCCCCAGAGCCAAGTTACTTTAGACTTCTAGAGGAGTGGGGAAGACAAAAGAAACAAGGTCATACAAAGGCACAAGATTTTATGGAGTTATTGGAGATGACCTAAGCTAGCCAGGAAAGCCTGTCCTGAGCAGTGACAGTTGGGCTAAGCTTAGAAGGAGGAAGGGCTGCCTAAGCAGAGGGCAGCATCTTCCTGTGGAAAAAATGTGTGCAACCCAGCAAATATAAGAGGAAGAGGAGGAGCACGTTGGGGGAACTGAAAGTAGCTTGGAATGACAGGCTCTAGGTATAAGGTGGGCATAGCCAGAGAAGAAACAGCAAGAAGCTGTAGAAAGGACAACTAAGTAGAAGGGAAATAGGTCACAGGGGCAACTCTGAGAGGTTCCTTAGTTTTTAGTCCTTAAGGCTTTCAGAAATTATTTCTTATATGGATGGACGGGTGGGCAGGTGGGTGAGCGGAGAGGTGAATGGGTGGCTACATGAAATGTAGATGGATAGATGAGTGAGTGAGTAGGTGGATGAATGGACAGGAGTGTAGGCAAATGATTGGATAAGTGGGTAGACAGATGGGTGGATAAGTGGTGGGTGGGTTGATTTGTGGGATGAAGAATGAATAGAAAGATAGATGAATGGATGAATGAGTGGATAGATGGGTGAGTATGTGGATGAATGGGGGAAAGATTGATGGAAGGGCTGATGATAAGAGGTACATGGATCGACAGAGGAGTGAACAGGCAGACAGATGAATGAACGAGTGGGTAGACAGATGGGTGGTGGGTGGTGGATAGGTAGATGGGTCTGGCAGATTTGAAGCTGGGTTCTGAAGCAGTGATGTCATGAATTGGAACAGGAAAGGGAAAAAGAGGATAGCATGGCCTCTCTTCTTTGGTTGCCTGAGCTGGACAGAGGCTCCTGCCTTTTCACACAGGTCTGATCACAGTCAACTCTTGCTTCTGCCATTTCCTGAGGCCAGGTCGCCCAGCTGGAAACTATACCTTTCCGGGAGTGTCCTTTCTCTACCTGGCTTCCAGAAAGCTTCGATCTTCGAAGAGCAAAGACCCCCATTAGGTGCAGCAGGGTTCTGCAAATGGGAAACACAGGGTGGAAAAACCAAGTCACGGCTCTCACGAGCCCTCCACTCACTGGACACATTTCTGTATATTCATTCTCTCTCTTGCAACACCATACTCAGGGGTTGGGGACATAGCTCAGTGGCACAAATGTCTGCCTGGCAAGTGCAAGGTCCTGAGTTCAATTCTCGGCACCCACCCCCTGAAAAAAAAAAAAACACCACACTCAGCAGCCTCCACTTTACAGATGAAAAACCTGAGGCTCTGAGAGAAGAAGCAACATGTACGAGATTCCGACAGCTGGGATGAGGCAGGCCAGGTTTTGAACTCCACCTGGCACACACGTTCCTCTATACCTCACTCTTTCACTGTTATCAGGGTCACCTCTGAGCAACTGCCTTCAACTGCCAGGCTCAACCAAGCTCCAAGTCTCAGAAAGGCCACTTCAGGGGTCAGCAGGCTGTGCCCTGGGCTGATCCCCTGCACCCAGAGGCTGCTCTACTAGGCTAACTATTCCTTCAACATCCACTGAGGAAAAAAGCCTACTGTGTGCCCAGTCCCTGGTCTCCCAAGGCGGAGGGCACTGCAGGAAGGAACTGCAAGGTCAGTCTCATCATCCAGCTAAGAAATTGGAAAGATACTACACACGAAGTGATTCAATGCCTAGAAAGCACATCTTTAGACAAAGGCTAATCAGCATAGGGGGGTTTCATGGACTCTAATGACCAAGGGAAACGAAGCCCCCAGCTGGAAGGTAACATCTCTTTGACAGGAGCGGGTGGTCTCTTACAGGTTCCAAGTCAGCGGGTGGGGAAGCCTTCATGCTGGCTCTCAGGGGCACATAAACAGTAATCTCATTCGTCACCTTCTTCCGTGTGGGGCGCTCAGGCACGCACAGACTGTTACTCATGGTGCCAGGCGCTGCTGGTGGGGGCCCAGCCCACGGAGCTGCGGAGTTTCCTGCCGGCCTGGTCTCCAGTCCCTGGAGCTGGCCAACCCTCCCCACTTCACACAAGCCATTTCCTTTCCCAAAAGAGGCGGTTTCCCTCTGAGGAAGGTGTAGAAATCAGACTGCATTTTTCTTCAGTTCCCCATCTTTCCCTCAGACAGCCTCATTCCCACAACAAAGGGACAGTAGAGTCTCATTTCTAAAGCCCTTGGAACAGTTTCAAAGGTCAGTGTCATCGGCACCCACACAGTCCCAGAGTCTCGTCTGCTAACCCATTTCTCAGAACCTAAAGCCCAGAGAGGCTAAACGAGTTGCTCTAGCCCACACAGAAAATCAGGTCGGATCAGGAACTCAGGCACCAACCTGCTGCCTTGAAGCTTTATTTTTTTTTTTTAACCACAAACCATAGCAAGAAACACACTTTTCCCTGGGACCCAGCCTACCCAGGCACATCCACACCCATGTGCACGCACAGGGCAACAAACTTCCCCCAAGCAACACTTACCTTGATTATTTTCTGTTCTATTTCATTTCTTAGATGCAGCTCATGAGCTACTAAATGAATTTTCTGACCCCCAAATGGTTTAAAAACAGCAGGACAGCCCCCTGCCTGTATTGCCTGGCTTTCTCCAGAGTACCCAAGTCTCAGGGAAGCAGCGTGGCCTCCACAGCGGGGTGGAGGAGCAGACAGGAAGAGGGCAGTGAAGTCCCAGGCTCGGCAGCTCCAGGAATCAGGATGATCAGGATGGAGTCCTCTGGCGGGGGAAATGGGATGAGACCGCTCCGCCCCTGCCCGCCCAGCTCAGCTCTGCCCCACACTCTCCAGCTGCCAGGACCCTGCAGCAGCTCCGCGGAGCCTGGGTGGCCCTGCCGCCAGGACGACAAGCTCTCCCTCCCGCGATTTCCCGCAGACTGAACCTCCCAGTGCCAGAACAAACCTCCCAGCACCGACTAGAAAATCCCCAGCCAGAGGCCGCCCATTCCTGAGCTGAGGCAGAATCATGTGAACTCCAATCTGGTGTCAGGCTGGGTGGTTGCCGAGGAACCA